AGATATGAATAAAGATATTGAAGATGATAAACAAAGTTGTGTCATCATAAAGTGTGAAATGAGTGAAGATAAGAAAAGAATATAAGTAATGAAACAAAAGAGATAATTAGTACAGGCAATAATGAATCACTACAAACAAGCAATGAAAAAAATGAAGACTCACCACTATCAAGTAATAAGCTGATCAGAAAGATCAAATTTACAAGTGAAATGTTTAATGATGAGATTGTTAAAAAATTATTTGATAGATCTAATAATGCTAATGCAAAAGATTAAGGTAATCTCAGATAGTATTACCAAAATAGTAAAAGCTCAGATAAGAATGTAAAAAAGAGAAACTTCTTTATGAATAGAGTGGAATGTACTCCTATCACGTGTGTCATAAAGAAATTTTTCTAGTATTTGTGTAGACCTCAACTTACTAAAATCAACATAACACATTTTTGATTCTGAAGAAAAATCTAAAATTAAATAAGTAAAAAAAAAGTAATATTAAAAGGTAGTAGCTTAAAAAAGTGATTGAATGATTATGTGACTTAAAATTTGGATCATAATAAGTCATATATGATAGTCACATGTGGATAAGGGCATGTAGCAAAAATTAGCAGACGTGTAAAAAAAAAAAAAGAATGATATTAATAAAAATATTCGCTAGAGCTCATACTTTACTAGAAGAAGATATTATATAAATTTTTGTAAATTTTGATTGACAAATGAATTACTTCATTTGCTATAATAAGATCATTACATTTTTGTGACTATATTTGTCAATCAAACTACCCAGCATTGATTACATATTATTTTGTTCATATTTATTATTCTTTCATATTATATAACTATTAGCTATATGTTATTACATTTTATCTTATAGCTGTTACTTCATATTTTGTAAATATTTTTGGAATTATTTCATTTTTATATCAAGAGTTAAGGAATAAAATGAGAATATAAAAGGTAGCTTTAGACAAAAGAAGAGGAAGATAGAGGATAATGAATAAATAAATAAATAACAGTCTTGCATATTCGTCTATAAATAACATGCTTAATAAATACTTGGCTATCTCTTTAATGCTTATAGCCCTAAGTAGTGATCCAAATCGGACCAAAAAATGCAATCGATTAATCAACCAAAATTTTTTTTAAAAATCGATTAAAAATC